GCAGCCCATCTCTTCACCACACCGGCGACGTAAAGCGAAACCGGAAGTGTCCGCCCGCACACTCACACGGACGGATCAGAAATCCAAAATGGCGGCCACGTGCAACAAGCGGAGATGCTACAATGATGATTGACTGTGTTGCTGCTACTGTTACTGCTACTGTTATCTTTTTTACAGGTAAGATTACTTAAGTCAAATGGGTCCACGAACCGTTATGTTTAGTATTTGAGTATTTAGGATTTATGTTAAGTAGTAAATTTTGAGCACGAAATTGTTATTACCCGTGGATAGAGCGTGATCAGAAACAACGCGGCAATGAAACTTCGTATGTGAAACGATAATTGGTATTATGCAATGGAGATGGAAAGACAGTATGCACAGTACTGTTATGTAGAGGTTGTGTGATATTGATGGGTAAAATAATAGTTTAAGTGACGCGAGTTCAGTAACACACGTGGAGTTCGCGGGTGTCCGCCATTTTGCCCAAGTTGCGTGCAGCGGGGACATTAGAGTTAAAGGGCAACTCCTAGGGCTGTAACGATACACCAAACCCACGATTCGGTTCGTATCACGATTTTTGACCCACGATTCGATTCGTATCGCGATTCTATCACGGGGGCGAGGCTTGGCCTGAAAAATAGATTTTGAGAGGAAAACATATACAGGTATTTTTTATTAAATAACATTTGGAGAAACGTATAGAATCTGAACACCAAAAAAACAATATAATAACTATGCAAATTATTAAACTAAACTAGGCAGTGTAGGCTGCTGCTTTTGGGTTGTTTTCTGTGCTCCAACTATATATTTTTTATAAGGCTATACCCTTCTTGTTTTGAACTTCATGCATGTGTATTGCATGTTAAACAAGTATTTAATGTAATATGATAACAAGACTGTTTTATTTTGGTGATGATGTGTAGCCAGATATATCAGCAGAGCACGTGCGATTACCTGCGTCTGTCTTTGAAGTCGTGAAAAGGTTGCCGTGTACCATCATTTTTAAGCCACAATATGTATTTCTTTCTGCTAAAAATGGCAAAAATAACTGCATCTATGTTATATATTTCTATTAGATGTGTATTTACATTATCCCGACAGTTTCCACCAACTTTCAAATACGGAGAAATAGTTTAATTCGAAGACACGGGACGTTTCTTTATTTCCGTTTCGTTGCCCGTTTATGGCGTCATATAACCTTTGACTCCTCTATTTTCTCTATCTTCCTTGCGGAACCCGGCGAAACCGCCAAACAAAGGGGAACACTGGATTACCACAAATAAAGCAAAGAAAATGACGAAGAAAAAAGTAGTACGTATTTTTATGTGTGTAAATCACGTGCCCGCTCACTCTTAACAGACCCACTGTCCCCGGTGCTGCTCGCGCATAAAGCGCTCCCCGTTGTTCACGGTAACCGTGTCGTCTCATTCAAAACAGCCAACTGTTGCTGTTAGCGAGCCGCGCACATTGAATACTCATATGGGTCAGGCTGCGAATGTACGTGCCCGCTTCGGTGCGCTCACGCTTACTAAATAAACGCCTCACCTCCGGCGCCGCGCACTCGATACATTCCCTTTAGCCTTTAGCACATAGTGGATGCATAACGCAAACCCAGTCAAACGTTTGACTGCAGTATCTTATGAGCTTTATAATCCGGTGCGCCCTATATATGAAAAATGTTCTAAAATAGGTCATTCATTGAAGGAGCGTAATATAAATATTTATATTTGTCTGTATTGTAGTTATGGACCACGATTACGCTTTGCCTGCACGTTCTGCTGCTACAGCCAGCTCCTTAGCTAAAGCTCAAACGTACGGGTGAAAAATATGACGCGAGAAGGGTTTGGGACAGGAGAAGCATGACACAGGTAAACATTGGGGTTGCATTTAAAGCTTCTTGACAAGCTAAATCTACAGAGAGATGCCGTATATCCGTATATTTTGTGAAATGATGATGTCATGTCATGAGGTGAGCTGGTTGTCATTGACAGCGACAACAACTCCCGTGAGCCCACGCTCTCTCCCGACGTCATCAAAGTACGTCTTTTGTTATTATTTTAAACGAGTGACCCCTGTTGGCCAAAAATCGCATACTGTACGTTTAATGTTCACGTCACAGGGATTTCCCATAAATGCACGCCTTTCAATGCGCATAGACGCTGTTTAGTTTCGGTTACAGTGGTTACTGAAAATGTCATCGTTTTTGTCCACATCGTAAACATATTTATATAGCAACAGATACATATAAATTAAATAAATGGAAATTCTATAACCGACAGCCTTCACAGAAGAACACGCCAAAGAGAAATGTACTTTTCATACGGATTACATAAGCAGAGAGCAGTCTGTTTTCTTTCGTTTTGAATTGTTCTTTTTAAAAGTAGACATTTCGATA